AGTAATTTGTTCACCTCTATTCCCAACCAACTTGATGCGGTGAACAGGCTTAAAAAAATACAAGGAAAAATATGTGCCGTAAAATATTTGACAGGCATCTAGAGACGACTTTTCCCGAATTTTTGAGATAAAACCCACTATTGTACTTCGAAGGATGGAATTTATAGAATTTTTTCCGTAAGAACGGGAAAAGTAACAAGAATTTTGAAATTCCATTTTACATAAATATCTGACACATTCGTAGAAATTTGCCTTTCAATTTGTAGAGCAGTAGGCGCCGAACATCGAAAATTTGTATTTTCAAGGGGTTAGTATGCCTGTTAAATATCTCCCCCCACAATTTTAAGGCTACGCCACTGTTATCTTTAAAAAACCTACTGTGTGAAGTCACGACCAACTCGTTACATAATAGTTACTCAAAAATACTTGTTACTTTTTACGTTCCTATGAAAAAAATTCTATAAATTCCATCCTTCGACGTATAATGGTCTTATTTATTTTAAAAATTCGGTGAAAGACGCCTCTAGATGCCTGTCAAATATTTTAGGGCACATATTTTTCCTTGTATTTTTTTAAGCCTGTTCACCGCATCAAGTTGGTTGGGAATAGAGGTGAACAAATTACTTCAATGGCTCATAGGCTTTGATTGACTCAAATTATAATGGAACCTTAAATGCAATTATTTAGAAGGGTATCTAAGCCATTTTTTGGCACAGGTTTTAATACAGTTGGGCAAAGACCGTCGAAGATATCTTAAATCAAAACATTAAATGTTGCTATTTTTTTCAAACCGCGATTGCACAAATACCACCCGTTAAACGCGAAAACTAAGTATGCAGATATGCTTATACCCGTCTATATTAACACAATTTAATGCCCATAGGGCTGCACCAAAAACACTGTCGGCCTGTGTAATTCTATAACTCATATAAAGTACTACTACAAAGTTTTGAAATAAAATAGTACAATTTCATAAATGTAATTAACATTTTTTGGCCAAAGATGCCTAGTAAATCTTATTCTTTCGAAACATTTATGATCTAAAAAGACTTTCTTTTCCAATCCCAATTATTTAGATGTTAAAAAAATTAAAAAAATGATGTGATCAAAAATTAAATATTATGAATCGCCCTTTAATGCTGATTAAGATCTTTGTTCCCTTTCTAATACCCATTTTAATACTTTTGAAACCCCACATAAACATATTATTAGTTTTAAAGCAGTATAAATACCCACTTTACAATATATTAACCCCTACTTTAACCATTCCAGAACTCAATCCCTGGCCGCAGTACATCGAGGAGCGCAATGTCTTCTGGGAGAAGTGCAAGGCGGAGTACGAGGCCGAGCTGGCGGCCAAGACGCGCGAGCCCATCAAGGTGACGCTGCCCGACGGCAAGCAGGTGGACGCCACCTCCTGGCAGAGCACTCCGTACGAGGTGGCCCGCGGCATTAGTCAGGGATTGGCCGACAATACCGTCATCTCCAAGGTGAACGGCGAGGTCTGGGATCTGGACCGCGTCCTCGAGGGCAACTGCACGCTTCAGCTGCTCAAGTTCGACGATCCGGAGGCGCAGGCCGTCTTCTGGCACAGCTCCGCCCACATCATGGGCGAGGCCATGGAGCGCATCTACGGCGGACACCTGTGCTACGGTCCGCCCATTGAGAGCGGCTTCTACTACGACATGCACCTGGAGGGCGAGGGTGTAAGTATACACACAAAAAAAAACTTTGTAAAATCAACTGTAATAATTGTCAAACAGGACATAAAAATGGTCAATTTTACTAAGTAAATTGTTACTCTTACGCAATTCGTAAACGTAAGGGTTACTATAAAAAATAGGTTTGCAACTGTAGGAAAGGGTAAAATGTGCCCGAACCATAAATTCAAGTTAACTTACTATAATATTTGTAAAATTACTGTTGCATACTTTTATACCGAAGAAGTTACGTTAGGGTAACTATTGTTCATAGTTTAACAACTATTTAAAAATAGTTTCAAGGTACAAAAACAAAAAACCCACAACCCGTAAGCGTAACTATTTTAATATTAGTTTAACTATTTAATAGTACGCAAAGCAAAAACAAATGCACGGACGACTATCTTTGTTGTTTAAGTACTATTTTGTATAGTTACTGAACTATCTTCATTGGCCAATTTTACCAAGCACTTTTTTTTATGTGTAGTTTCGGTGTTTCTTAGGTAATAAACGAGCTAATAATCTGCATTATTATTAGATCTCCACCAACGACTACGGCGCCATGGAGGGCCTGGTCAAGCAGATCGTGAAGGAAAAGCAGAATTTCGAGCGTCTGGAGATGAAGAAGTCCGACCTGCTGGAGATGTTCAAGTACAACGAGTTCAAGGTGCGCATTCTCAACGAGAAGGTGACCACCGATCGCACCACCGTTTACAAGTGCGGCTCGCTGATTGATCTCTGCCGCGGACCACATGTCCGTCACACCGGCAAGGTGAAGGCCCTGAAGATCACCAAGAACTCGTCCACCTACTGGGAGGGCAAGGCGGACGCTGAGACGCTGCAGCGTGTGTACGGCATCTCGTTTCCCGATCCCAAGCAGCTCAAGGAGTGGGAGAAGCTGCAGGAGGAGGCGGCCAAGCGGGATCATCGCAAGATCGGTCGCGAGCAGGAGCTGTTCTTCTTCCATGAGCTCTCCCCTGGCTCATGCTTCTTCCAGCCGCGCGGAGCGCACATCTACAACACGCTGATTGGATTTATTAAGGCGGAGTACAGGAAGCGCGGCTTTCAGGAGGTCATTTCACCGAATATCTACAATGCCAAATTGTGGATGACCTCGGGTCACTGGCAGCACTACGCCGAGAACATGTTCTCTTTTGAGGCCGAGAAGGAGAAGTTCGCCCTCAAGCCGATGAATTGTCCCGGCCACTGCCTCATCTTCGATAATCGCAATCGATCGTGGCGCGAGTTGCCTTTGCGCATGGCCGACTTTGGTGTGCTGCATCGCAACGAACTCTCCGGCGCTTTGACCGGACTTACCCGCGTTCGTCGCTTCCAGCAGGACGATGCGCACATCTTCTGTGCCCCCGAGCAAATCAAGAGCGAGATGAAGGGCTGTCTGGAGTTCCTGAAGCACGTCTACACCATTTTCGGCTTCTCCTTCCAGCTGGTTCTTTCCACACGCCCCGAAAATTACCTCGGCGAGCTGGAGCAGTGGAACGATGCGGAGAAAGCGCTGGCCGAGTCACTCAACGAGTTCGGCATGCCCTGGAAGGAGAACCCCGGCGATGGTGCCTTCTATGGGCCCAAGATTGATATTACTATTATGGACGCTCTAAAGCGAGCGCATCAGTGCGCCACCATTCAGCTGGACTTCCAGCTGCCCATTCGCTTTAATCTCAGCTACATTGCCGACGATGGCGAGAAGAAGCGGCCGGTGATCATCCATCGCGCCATCCTCGGCTCCGTGGAGCGCATGATTGCCATTCTCACGGAGAACTTTGCCGGCAAGTGGCCCTTCTGGCTGTCGCCGCGCCAGGTGATGGTGGTTCCCGTGGGTCCCGCCTACGATCAGTACGCCCAGTCTGTCCGGGATCAGCTTCATGCCGCCGGATTCATGAGCGAGGCGGACTGCGATGCCGGCGACACGATGAACAAGAAGATACGCAATGCTCAGTTGGCGCAGTTCAACTTCATTCTGGTGGTGGGCGACAAGGAGCGCTCCTCGAACACCGTGAACGTCCGCACTCGGGATAACAAGGTGCATGGCGAGGTCTCGGTGGCGGATCTGATTACCAAGCTGCAGAAGATTCGCGACGAGTTCATCTCGAACGAGGACAACTTCTAAGACTCTACTTCGATCTATATTTATCAAAACGTATACTTAACATTTGCATGGCAAAGCAAGTACGCATTTTTTGTTCTTTCTATGTATTTACGCTTATGAAACCGGAATTCACAAATAAAAACCAAAACCAAACATGAATTATGATAAGGCCTCGGATTTTGCTTATTTGTCCATTTTTGGTGCGATTTTTACCAAATTTTCTAGGAAGGTGTCATAATTTTCAAATGTTATAAATCCGGATGCATATTGGAAATATGCAAAATATATGAATAAAATATGCTAAACAAATTTTTAATGCAGCCCTCTTATTCTAAGGAATTTTCAGTAAACACGGCGAGCAATTTAAACGAACAGTTTGGCCGATAGGGTTAAAAACTATTCTGCCCCTTTTACTATTTTTGCCCCCTTCTCGCCTTCTCGTTGGAAATATAAAAAGGGTTTCCTTAAATTTGGGAAAAAATTAGATATCTCAGAAATGACGAAAAAGAACCACCAATTTTCTTAGGGTAAATTATGTTGGCTATGAAATGGTCAATCTTGAATAGTTTAGTTTATTTTGTATTTTGCATATTTTATGCATATGCATTTTATGAATGCCACTAATTTTAAACTATATTTTTCTTGAAACGAACTTTGGTGTTTTCGGAATTGATCTAACTTTATCTTAAAAAAATATGCTAATATGCAAAATCCGAGGTCTAATTTATGATGTATTGAATCATCTTTTTTAAATGTTTAGTTAATGAAAACATGAGGGAGCCATATGTGGATGACGAATTTTATTATTTACCATAGCGATTTAATTCGGGAAAAAAACTGAAAAGAGGAATTTAGCTAATTATTAAGCTTTTCTAACTGAGAATCATATCTTTACAATCCTATTACACTGTAATTTTCTGACGAATCAGTGGAATTTGTCAGCAATTTCGGACTAGTCATGCCGACACAGGTGCGCAGGTCATACAGAAACGATTTTAAACGGTAACGCAGCCTGAAATTGATAAGATACGGTGCCCCAAATATCGTGGAACCCTTTTTATAAGAGGGAATGGTGATACATTGTACACCCACTTTGTATGAGTCATGCTTGGGGAGCGTTTTTTTTATGTTTTAATTTATTACTAATATCTTGTATACTTTTCATTTTCATAATTTGATTTATTAAAAATTGCATCCATAGTTTTATGTTTTTATTCAATTATCAATTTTGTAAGCTTTTGCTTTTCGCGTAAAAAATGCACAAAGTTCTCTCGCTAATCGAAGCAAAAATCGTTAATAATATATTGTTAAGTGTTTGCTCTGCTCGTGTGCTGCATGTCTGTTTTCAGTTTTAGTCATAAAAATACATATTATATATCTGTGTATATTTATTCATAAGATGCACGTGGCCAAGTCCTATGCCATCCAAAGTTCCAGTTAGCAGTTGCGCTCGCTGTGCTAAAAAAAGAAGCCGAAAACCGAACCGAAATTGGCGAAACAAAACAGAACGAGGGGGCACTAAAATGAGAAACAAAATGCCTGGCTGGTGGAATCATATTGAACACAGGCTGGCTGCGTGGTATCTACGACTGATGGAGATGCCGAGAGCTGGAATGTCGGAGGTTCCTGGACCGCCTGGCCTGACATAAGTACATGGTTTAGGGGGTTGGGTATCGGAAATGCACAACACTATATTCTTGTCTGGGGTAGCTAACTCGCAAATATTACTCTGATCCTGATCCCTGATCCTGATAAGTTAGCATGCTCAGCTCAGCTCAATTAACATTAATTAGTTAGCCGATTTCGTTAATGGTTGTTTAGTCTATTTGCCTTTGCTATCATTTTTGTTACTTTATAAATAAACTTAAACGTAAGGTGTGTATGTGTGTGTATAGATGTTGAGGAATCCGCCGCAGATCCAGCCGGAACATACACCTCGTTGGATCGGGGTTGGGTTTTCGGGGTTCTAGCAGGCACAGCCGCCCTCGGGATCCTTCGTCTCGTTGGGCGAGTCCTTCAGCACCACCTCCTGCATGTCCTCCGAGGGCTTGTTCTCCGTGGAATCCATGCCGGGCAGGGCAGCGGCCACCCGCCGGAACAACTGCTTCACATTGTAGCCCGCCTTGGCGCTCGTCTCGATGAACATCACGTTCAGCTCCTTCGCCTTGCGCTCCCCCTCCTCGGTGGACACCTGGCGCTTGTCCGAGAGATCCGTCTTGTTGCCCACCAGCATGATGATGACGTCGCTGCCCCGCTCCGTGCGCACGTCATCGATCCACTTGGAGGTCTGGTGGAAAGAGTTGGTGTTGGTGATGTCGTACACCACGACGGCCACCGTGGAGTCGCGTATGTAGGAGGGGATGAGGGAGCGGAAACGCTCCTGGCCCGCCGTGTCCCACAGCTGCAGGCGCACCGTTCGATCCTCCAGGTACATGGTCTTCGAGAGGAAATCAATGCCGATCGTCGCCTGGTACGTGTTGTCGAAGCTGTCGTACATGAAGCGAGTGATCAGCGAGGTCTTGCCCACACTCTGCTCGCCCAGGAAAACGAGCTTGAACTTCCGCAGCGGATTGCCAAAATCACCGGATGACATCTTTCACGTACGTGTCTACTTTTTCTTAATTACGGGTTGGCTGACCTCTCTCCGCTCTCCTATCTGCACTACTCCGCACACACACACACACACTCCTCGGCTGCGCACTCTCCACTCTCCACCCCTCCTCTCTGTTTATAATGGGGCTGGGCCAGCGGTTTTCGGGCACTTCTCGCACTGCGATTTCTCTGCGGGCACCGCTTCCAAGTGGCCGCACTCTGTTGCTCACGCTCTAAATGCTTCCGGCTAGCTAAATGGCCAATTGCGGCTCGATTCGCTCAGTAAATCGCTTGGTTAAGTCGTGGAAAAATTACGGTCTCTGCTTCTTCTTCAACTTCTGACTCAGTTGCTGTGTGACCAGAGCTGGGGCAAAAATCGATTTATATTCGATACTATCGATGTTTGGGAGCAACCGTGTGAAATCGATAGCTGTAACCCAATCGATTGAAATGTTATCGAGTAAATTATAAAATTTCAAATTCTAAACAAGATTTTCATTGATTTACTCATTTTATGTTTTATAAATAATTAAATAGAAATACCAAAAGTCCAAAATATATTGGTTTTTCTTAAACATGCTAAAGGGTTTTTAAAGTAACCGTTACCGAATACCAAAAAGGTGAACAGTGATTTTCAAATATTTTCCTTTGCAAATTGAAATTAAAATTGAAATTGATATTTAGCTAATTTTTCTAGCTCTTACCATCTTCATAGGTAAGGGCCATCTTGGAGGGCCGGAGAAGTAGGATAGGTGCTTGGATCAGCCGCTCGGTGAAGGGATGTAGAGCCAGCTTTTTCGACCTAGGGCCGGTTTCTCGAGTCCCTGTCAAAGTCCCTGATAGCTATCTGTCCGAAAAACTTAAAGACCAGATAAACTGTTCGTAAAAGCAAATCGGCTTTCTCGACTGCTTTAATTTTTCTGAACGAGAAACAATTACAGAGTGCTGTTAACGTACAGAATTGTGCTGTGAAGCGCAAAAAATGGCGTGCTTCAATTATTTCATCAGCTGTTTGGGTATATTTCAAGGGAAAAGTCAGCTGTGATTTCGTTTCTTCTTCTTAGTTGGCTTTGGGAAATCAGCTGTCATTCTATCGAGTCGAAAACGCTTAACAGGGACTCCGAGTCCCTGTCAAAGTTAGCTCTCACATTTATGCTCGAGAAAGCCAAAATGCCTTATCAGGGACTTTATCTGTTCGAGAAATGTTAGCCGGCACTCGAGAAACCGGCCCTAAGTTAATAGTTATTTCACAATTACAACATACACACAATTAGCAAAAACACACACCTAAAGCAAAAACAATCGTAGCGAAACTCGGGCGGAATTCGTCCTCCTTCAAAAAATCTTTTCGCAACTTCCGCCAGCATCTTGATCTGTTCTTTGTTAATCGCTTTGCCATTTTTGGTGGACACTGAAGAAGAGTTTTGTTTTAGCAAATTTGTCAGAGGATCAATAACATTGTTTCTTCCGAAAGTGGTGGCGTATGCAATATCCATGACGAAATCGGCATGCAAGTGCAAGTCTTGCTTTGCGCCAAATCGCCACGGAACTTTCGGAATTCGTTTTAAAAAGTTATTGCCCTGATAATTGTCGCTAATTATCGCCAAGCATTTGTTCCACAGGTCTTCCTCTTTTAAAAACGAAATTATTGCGATCAAAATCGGCCTAACCCATTGAATGTCCGTCGACCTTTTTGTCGCTCTCAAGTATATTACTTGAAAGTCTCTTCCGTCATACGAAGACATTGCGAAAATCAATGCCCTATAGAGTATGCGGCTTTTTCCTTTTGTTGGAATCTGAAAGGAAGACAAAAATAAATAAAATAACATAAATAATAACACAGGCCGACAAAATGTGACATGGGTCGGTGTCCAGGCCTGCCACCATTTATTTCGATAAATGAGGCTTTTTTAAGCATAAGTTGCCAGTACGCCTATAGTCCATCAGCTCTGGTATTTGCGGTATCTTTAATTTAAGAAAATCACAAATTTTCTTCGTTTTTTGGGATATATCTTCAAGAGTGGTCAACCAATTTTGGTAATCTTTTCGGAATTAAATAGTTACATGTCTCTTTTATACGGTCGTTTTGGAAAATTCAATCTAACTGAACCACAAGAGAAGGTGGGCGCATTCAAAATTTTAAAGTCACAGCAAAGTTTAAAAATCTTTATTTGTGAACAGCGTTTAAAAATTAAATAAAAATATTTTCTTCTACACTGCATTTTAAATTTAAAGACACCTTATGTCCCTAATTTTTAGGGCACTCATCAGGCTTTTGTGAATTGTTTTGAAATTTTTAAAATTTATTTTCTTACTTCCTTCACAGTGACGATTCACAAACAGTGCCCAAACCTGTCACAATTTTAAATAACATATTTCTAAACGATCTAAGTAGTTTTGCTTTGAATATAAGAACATTAGCGTAGGCTACTAATCTTTGGGGGCTGAAATGCCTGAAGTGTAATCCCCCTCCAGCTTTTAACTTACGCCCATGTATAAATATTTTTAAAGGAAGGGTTACTTGTGCTCAAAAATAGTTATGCGTTACGTAAAAAAGTGACAGGTTTGGGCACTGTTTGTGAATCGTCACTGTGAAGGAAGTAAGAAAAACAATTTTAAAAATTCCAAAACAATTCACAAAAACCTGATGAGTGTCCTAAACAGTATGGACATAAGGTGTCTTTGGATCAAAAATGCATTGTAGAAGAAAATATTTTTATTTAATTTTTAACCGCTGTTCACAAATGAAGATTTTTAAACTTTGCTGTGACTTTAAAATTTTTAATGCTCCCACATCCTCTTGTGGTTGAGTTAGATTGAATTTTCCAAAAAGACCGTATAAAACAGACATGTAACTATTTAATTTCGAAAAGATTACCAAAATTGGTTGACCACTCTTGAAGATATATCCCAAATGACGAAGAAAATTTGTGATTTTCTTAAATTAAAGATACCGCAAATACCAGAGCTGATGGACTTTAGGCGTGGTGGCAGGCCTGGACACCGACCCATGTCACATTTTGTCGGCCTGTGTAATCTAAACTAATATACACTAGTCGGCATAATTATTTTGACAGATTGTATTTTTTATGATTTTTAGAATGGAACGATCTCAGAAAAATGTTGCATGAAAAGGAGGAAAAAGCGGCTAAAATTGTCATTTTGAGCTATTTTGAATTTTTTTTTTTGCAGTTGTTATTAATTTTGATTGGGGAAAAACTTAGCATCAAAACATTTTTGTTTTGGGGCCCAGGAAAAAGTTTAAAATTTGACTTTCACAAAATGTCCTAATTTTTCAAAGGGTGCTAATGGGTTAAGAACATTTTTGGGTCATTTAAACGGAATTAACATTCAAATTTGTCAAAATAATTATGCCGATCAGTGTAATTGGAACAATAAATCGTAGTAAGTAGTAAATGTAGTAGTGTAGTGGTTGAGAACTGTTTAACAATTATATTTGTTAATTTTATCAAGTTTATTTTTAGTGTAGGACATAATAATGTTGTTTTTGTGGAAACTAAGGAACAAATTTCTGATAAAATGATTTCTCGGCTTTTAGGCTTATCTTGGGAATTTTCGTCACAAAATGTGATATCAAAGACTTTTGTATGTTGATGGTGCGATCGTCACTACCTTTTTACCTTTGTTAAGAGGTATTTTTGTTGTATTTAACATACCTCGGGAAAAACGGTTAATCCCACTTTTGCGACGGCTTCAAGAGCAAGGATGTTAGGGACAATCCTCCCCCTTTCTCCAACTCTTTGTCCACTACGGAAAAGCACTTTCGAATGGAGTTCTCCACTTCCTCCTTTTTGTATGCGGCGACGAATGGGCAAGCTAGTATGAGCATCTCAGCTGAGATGCCTGTGCCTGTATTTTCACTTGTATCCATTTCCACTTCTTCACAATCACTTTGCTCCATTTCATTTTCCATATCCATTTCGTAAGTTTATGAAAACACAAATTGGAAACGACGCTGTTGGCCAGATGACGATCTGTATGGTATGGTCTAGTATTTTCCGCTCGAAATTTGTTTTTTTTTTGATTGGTCACACTTTTTTTTGCAAACTTATAACCCGGGGGTGGGCACACACATACGTTGACATTTTGTTTTATATCGAGTGGTAGCCTTAAATCTCCCCGACGACCCCAAATCGTGCTACAGCTATTTAAACTTCTGTGTCTCCATATATCGAAGTGTTTCCAAATCTCGGCTCTCCACTCTTAATGTCTGAACTAATCAAAAACTAAACTAAACTTCGCCTAAGCCAGCTAAAGCTGCCGACCGCTGTTATAAACTTATAAAATATGGAGAAGGAATCAAGCGGTGCACCGGTACCCCGCCTGGAGGCTAAACGCCCCAGGTTCGCCAATGGGACTGAGACCAAGTCTCAGATAAAAAAAGGGCATGATCAAATGAAGGAGGTGGAGGCGGAGGTACGGAAAGTTCAGATGAGCTGTATAAAAAAGACGTTTTAAATGGCTTAAAAGCCAAATTAAAAGCGCCACCATCGTCAGAAGCGCCAGCGCCATCAGCGACAGTGTTCCAATGGTCATCCGCGGAACTTCCGGCCTTAAAATTTCTAGAAAAGCCATTGACGGAGGTGTTGGCGATGGTGGGAAGTAACACCACCTACACCTGCGTGGCACAGTGCGGCCAGAAGACTCTCTTTTGTGAGGTCTCCGTCCAGGTGCCGGGCGCGGCTGAAGAGGTAGAGGCCCAGGACTGGCAGTCGCCGCCTTCATCGCCTTCGCCTTCGACAGACACAGCGGATCCAGCGCCAGCCGCAGCCGTTGAAGAGGCCCAGTCTGACTCAAGCTCTCAGAGTCCGCGACTGCTAAGATGGGTTTCCTTGCGCGATTTAAATGGCGCTATGGCAACAAGAAGGAGGAGGAATGACGTCGTGCTGCCATCGCCATCAGCCACATTTTCCGAAAATACTAAATTTTTAACAAAATACTAATAAATATACCGGCCATTTCTGAACCTTCGTCAAACATTCAAAAAACTTGTCTCTTCTTCTATCCACAGGGTTCCTGTGGAAAAATGTACTGAACATTCCATTTTCGTCGCATGTCAATGATGCGGCCCAGCCTAATGCCCTCTGCTCATTATGGACGCGTCGCGTTTGCATCCATTTACAGTTTAACGCGCCCAAATCCCATACAAAACTTGTGGGCGAGGGATGAGGAGGGGAGGGTGAAAATTTATCGCGTTACAGGGCTGGAAAGTGAAATTTGTGGTATTTTTAAGCAGTATTAACCAGGCATGAACAGTTTTCTGGACCCAACACTGATAGGAGGCTGATAAGAAGCGGGAAATATTACCCTGTAGTTCGCCGGGACTGGTCCCGAACTAGCGAAATCGCCATACACCGGGGGCTTGGGACTAACTCCCGTTCATACCACCCGCAATGTAAATTTCTATCCACTTTTACCACGGCATGTCCTAGGCGGTGGTCATATGGCGAAGTTCTGCATTACCTTTCGCCACAAAAGGGACCGATAGGTGGTCCCATATTATACCCCTTTTCGCCACAAAAGGGGCCACCTATCGGACCATCTATCGGACCACCTATCGGTCCCTTTTGTGGCGAAAAGGGGTATGAAAAGGGGTTGGTGTTTTCAATACCAAAAAAGCTGAATGCTATGAAACTTCCCAAGAAAAAATACTTTTTGTTAAATTAATTTATTGTATTATAAGTAGACAATTTTTCTATTTTTTAATTTATATTTATTGAACAAATTCCTCTGCTGACACGTTTTTGTTGAGTGCCTCATTGTTGTTATTATTTGATTTGGATTTATTTTTAAAAAATCGTTTCTTTTGCAATTGAATTGCCTTGGGAATCAATATTTCTGCATTACCAGATTCAGAAACAATATCTAAAAAAAAATAAGATTTTAGTGTTTTAAAATAAAATGAGAACAGAAACTAACTTCGGCAAGCCAAAGTTTTAATACCCTTGCAGCTTTCAGGAATAAAATTGTGACTAGAAAAGCATAAATATAAAATAAGAATAACCAATAGTTAAATGTAGACTTATTTCACGCTTTTGAAACTTGAACCGACAGACAGACGGACATGGTTAAATGGATTTACTTTATAGGTTTGAAAAGGTCTCCTTTACTGCGTAACAAACTTCTGGACTAAATTATAATTCCCTCTGCATGGGTTTAAATATATATTTTTAGATTTTGTTATACAAGCCTGTTTACATCAAACCATGTTTTAAGATTTTGTTATACAAGCCTGTTTACATCAAACCATGTTTTAAAAGTGAAAAGCAGAAAAAGACAGAAAGAAATAGGATTAAAGACAGATGGCATTCTAAGTAAATAGATTGAAATTGAATCAAGAAACTAAGTGTATTATAAAAAATACAGTTATAAAAATAACCTACCGTGAAGTGCACCATAGAAATGTGTAAAGGAGTTTACGGCTTTTTTTCCAGAAAGGCCTTTAACATTAAATCCCACAACAAACTCATCCGTGAGAGCCCTCCGCAAGTTTTTTAAACCCCCTTCTGGCAGCAACAACGATCTCATGGCTTTAATCTAAAAAGGAAGAAAATTTCACTAAAATATTTATATCAAAGAAAAAAGACTTACGTAGGAGTCCTTTGCACCACTATTTCTCCTTCTCCTCTTTAACAAATCGACGAATGTGCCTGTTGCTGTTCATGGCTAAATATCACACATTATTAGGTATTTCACTTGCACAACTCATGGTGTTACTCACCTGTTGACGACACTTCAGATCACAACAAAATATAACACTTTAAATGTACAATAAGACAAATTAAATACAATGTTTACAAAATTTGGCGCAAACGTTGGGTTAGTGATGGTAGCGGGGTTGGGTAGTTATGGCAATCCGTTACGATTAATATTGCGACTACCGATATCGTATAATCGATGGCAATAAAAACATTCGCTAATATTATTTTTGTTTAGTTCTATGTATATAAAATTAGGTACTTATATATTTATTTTATATATCTAAGCACCAATAAAATCCGCTTGTTATGGAAGGAAAGAAAACGTTTTGCTACTGAACCACCGCTATTGTTAAAAATATTGCTGCAGCTAAATTGCTCATTATTAAATATAAATAATATAAAAAGAAATAAAATTCTATCATTTAATATTTTTTTTTATCTCATTATTAAGTTTTTATTTTATTATTTTTACTTTTTTTAAATTTGTTTTTTATATAAACAAAATAAAGTTGTATTCGTTATTAAAATCATTATATACTTGTCAAAAATTTCATTTTACAATTTTTTTAACTCATATAGAAGTGTTCACATAGAAGTGTTCACTCTCCGATAACTCTTTTGCTCTTGTAAAAAATACACACGCCACCTATTGACCCTTAAGGGACCACTGGGTGGTCGATCCCTTTTCTACCCCGAAAGTGCCACCGGCCCCCTTGAGAACTACAGGGTATGCACAGGTGCATAATCTGCTTTGACCATAGATGGCCATTCCATATTCAAACCACACACGTTGACAGGCGACTGCTGGAAATGGGCACATCTCCCTCCTTTTTGCGCACAATGTCCTTGTAGGCGTTTCTGCCCCGTCTCAGATTCTGTTCAGGGACGTGCCACCGCAGAAGCTGCAGCTACTGCTGTCGCAGGTCGTGTCAAAGAATTATTTAAATGACTGTTCAGATCTATATATATGAACGCCTTCTGCAGCAGATCCTTTTGCTTTCTGCCGTAAAAAATACTCAAGCAGCATATCACAGGATGTAGGTATTGCTTTCATCATTGCAGCAATGTTTCCACGCTATTCTAATGCTGTTCTGCGTTTGCAATTATCAATAACAAATTATTTAAATTCATTGTTTACTTCAGCTCGCAAATGACAATAGCAGAACAGCTGTTTTCAGACGCGTTTGCCAATGGAAACACCTCACGTCCGCCTATCGCGTTGCCAATCGAAAATATACAAAAATACCGAAAAAACCGCATAGTGGAAAAATGCCTTAAACACACTATTAGTTTTTAGGAAGAGGGACCGCCCCGGTGACTGCACCGGACTGTGAATACCGAATACCAAAAAGGTGAACAGTGATTTTCAAATATTTCACTTTTCAAATTTAAAAGCTCTCAAGGCTGAATAGGCATTCTTGAGATATAAATGTTTTGCCCATCCTATGACTGCAACGTATTTTTCCCAAAGAGTCACTGCTCGGGCGGCGCTTAATCTTGAATTATATTAAGCGGGTATCTGAAGAACACACGGCCGGTAATTGAAAGCCTTATCTTCTAGCGCAGGCGAATTTTTGGTATCGCGAATTAATTTAAACGCGCGATAATAAAGCCCGATGTAAACAGTTCCGCGAAAACTATGATAGCGAACGGACAGCAAAAAAGGTGGCTGGCCAGTGTGCTCCTGCTGATCCTGGGCCTGTGCCAGGTGTGCGCCGGAGTGGCGATTGCTCGGCCCGAAGGACGAGTGGTGGGCGGAAGTGCGGCGGCTGTGAATAGTGCTCCCTACGCGGTGTCCATGCAGTACGGAGGAATCCACTACTGTGCCGCCAGTATCCTGAACTCCAACTGGTTGGCCACTGCGGCCCACTGCCTGACCAACAGCAACCAGGTGCTGGGAAGTACTCTTGTGGCTGGCAGCATCGCGGTGGCCGGAACAGCCAGCACCACGCAGACGCGCAGCATCACTTACTTCGTAATTAACGATCTTTATACCGGAGGAACTGTTCCCTACGATATCGGATTGATCTACACGCCCACCGCCTTCGTTTGGAGCGCTGCCGTGGCTCCCGTAACGCTTCCCTCCGCCGGAGTGGTGCCCACTGGCACCGCCAATCTCTACGGATGGGGCAGCACCAGCACCACGAACACCGCCTCCTATCCCTCGACCCTCCAGGTGGCCACCAATGTGCCCATCATCTCGCTGAGCTCCTGTGAATCAGCTTTGGGCACCAAGGGCAGCGATGTCCACTCGACCAATCTGTGCACTGGTCCCCTCACCGGAGGCGTCAGTATTTGCACCTCGGATTCGGGAGGTCCACTCGTCCAGGGCAATGTCCTAATTGGCATCGTGTCCTGGGGCAAGCTACCCTGTGGTCAGGCGAACTCGCCCTCGGTTTATGTGCAGGTCTCCTCGTTCATTTCCTGGATATCCTCCAACCAACAGGTGCCGTAAACTTAACAATTGGGATTTTTTCCTTCAATAAAAGCAATCAAAGTTGTGCCTTCAGTGGCTGGTGACTTAAGTGTGGGACTTTCCTACGCACTGCAGCGACTATATCACAAAAATGTTGTTTGTAAAATTTATCTTATCTTTCGAGTGGAGAACAGAGAGCGTTGGGGTCAAACTGATCGGGAGTGTATACTAGATATATTATATCTCACATATTTTCGGGCTGTTCGTATTTAATGATCAAAAAAGCTTTGACTTACATTTACAACTGCATCAATGATATTAAAATATTTCCCTGTTTTATTGATTAAATGTACTTGCGCATTTTATGAGTTAACGACGTTTTATTTTAGTTAGTTTTTCAAGAGCTGTAAATTTGTAAAAAAATTATAATCTGGTTAATAAAAACTACCCATTTTTGCTCAGGTTTTAAAAACGGATTTTACTTATTCTCTTCATAGGGGAATCCCATTAGAATCTAGAATGAAACGAATGACAAACTTGAGATATTGCAGCTCTCACAGCTATCCACCTTGTTGACACAGTATATCATAGCAATATATATAAAAAACCGTCTAATCTTAAATTATATTAAGTTGTTATCAATAAGACAAGGGCCCTAATTGAAAGTTCTTATCATTTTCTTGGCTGGCTCGCGTGAAATTCGGTATCACGAATTAATTTAAAAAGCCGTCGGATAGAGCCGATGTAAACAGCAGTGCTGCCATCACTCAGCTTGAAAAACAGGACAGATAAGCCAAAAAAAACAGGGAAAAAAAGGACAAAAAATTTTAAAAAAGGACAAAAAAAGGGACAAAAGTAAATGCGCCTCCATTTTTCTGTTTTACCAATGGGTTATATAATTACTTAATTTAAATGGATTTTATATTAAATTTAATTATGTAATGACCTACTGCGCCCGACTCACATCCTTCTTTGTTTTATCATTTTACCATGGTTAATTTTTGTGCGTATACGTAATAATTTAAAATTATTAAAATAATAAAAGCATTTCAAGTAACTATATTGGTAATACAAAAAAAATGCAATATCTGCGTCAAACCCGAATAAGAGTCGTTAAAATCTGAAATTTTTTTCTGACAAAAAAGCAGAGAGTAAAAATTGAGAAATTTTTAAAGTGTTTTCCTCTTTTTTTGCTACAGAAAAAATCGTACTATATAGAAAATCCATCGACTGCTTTACGTCTCTTTGATAATTTGTAAAAATAATTATTTTTTAAGTGCCGAACTGTAAGATTGATGGTTAAAAAGGCGTTTTAGCATATAAAAACAGGTTTACACACTTTCGACTGGCAAAAATAACACTCAAAACCTTATTTTTGAAAAAAGGACAGATTTCCGGATAGGGGATGTTTAAAATTTTTTCCGGATAAACCCGTTAAAAAAAGGACAAATCTGTCCGGAAAGAGGACAAAATGGCAGCACTGGTAAACAGTTCCTCGAAAACCATGATTGCGAATGGACGACAAGCAAGGTGGCGCCATAGTTCCCTGGCCAGTTTTCTTCTCCTGGCCATAGGACTTTGCCAAGGATCGGGAATGGCCCTAGCCCAACCTGAAGGACGAGTGGTGGGTGGTACGGCGGCGGCGGCCAATAGTGCTCCCTACATAGTATCGATGCAGTACGGCGGAACGCATTATTGTGCCGCTAGTATCCTGAATGCCAACTGGCTGGTAACTGCTGCCCATTGCCTTTCGAATAGAAACCAGGTGCTGGGAAGTACCCTCGTGGCGGGAAGCATTGCGGTGGCCGGAACAGCGAGCACCACCCAAAAGCGGAAAATCACCCACTACGTAATTAATGATCTTTATACCGGAGGTACCGTTCCCTACGATATCGGACTGATCTACACGCCCACCGCCTTCGTTTGGAGCGCTGCAGTGGCTGCGGTCAAGCTGCCATCTTCCGGATCGAGACCCACGGGATCGGCCAATCTATTCGGATGGGGCAGCACCAGCAAAACCAACAGCCCCTCGTATCCCGCCACCCTCCAGGAGGCCAAGAACATTCCCATCATCAGCCTGAACTCGTGTGCCCCGGCATTGGGCACCAAGGGTCAGGATGTCCACACCACGAATCTGTGCACGGGTCCTCTCACCGGCGGCACCAGCTTTTGCACCTCCGATTCGGGAGGTCCACTCGTTCAGGGAAATGTCCTAATCGGCATTGTGTCCTGGGGAAAGCTGCCATGCGGTCAGCCAAACTCGCCGTCCGTTTATGTCCAGGTCTCATCGTTTATCTCCTGGATAGCTGCTAATCAGAAGATATGAATTTTTTGAAAGGTGTATCTGAATAAAGATATGGTAAAGAAATTGCAAATTTCTACCGCTAAATGTTTGTTCCTGCTATCCAAGTTTATCACATAAAGATGTTGTAAAAAAATTGCAAAGCACCCAAAAAACACCATTATTGTTTAAGGGGTTATATACCTTTTTTGAGCGAAAAAATTGAGGGAACTTTGGATTTTTTTTTGGTGTGTAGCAATTATTTTATGACAGTGAAGGTTTTATTTATTGATAGTACATGTTTTTATCGAAACAACAAGCCTTTGTTCTTGAAAAAATATGAATAATTTAAGTTATGGCAATTCTTTCGGAACCCTTTTTTTTATAGCGGCTTGCGGTGACCACGATGGAAAACCAGCAGGTCAACTTATATAAAAAAACCAAAAATTTTTAGTTAGTATAGTATTATTTCCAGTTCGTGAACGATTATTTTTAAGAATATTTGCTTTTTTCTGCATACAGTAACAATTTTTCCAAAAAGTTGATTTTTCGAGTTCTAAAAATTTTATTTAAAAATTCTGATCTGCGAAATTAAAATTGGCGCATAAAAACTGAATCGTTCACGAACTCGGCACAATCATTACGAATAATTTAAAAAAAAATTGAAGAAAATCGATCAAATAGTTCTTGCGCAATCGTGGTCACAGCGAAGGCACTTTTGGAAAAACACGACTTTGAGATAATCGCATTCAAAGTTTTACGTTGACGTTGCAACTATTGAAGTCGAGCGCGGCAAAACGCTGTTTTCCTATCGAACTATTATTCGGATCTGTATGAAAATTTGGAAAGATGTTCTCTAGGGGATATACTTTAGGATTCAGCAAAAAAAAAAAAATCGTTTTGTTGAAAAAAATAAGGTATATAACCCCTTAAGAATTTTTATGACGAAATGTTTGTTCTTGCTGTTTTCTGTTTTTGCGTCTTTTTGGATTTTTTTTATTTTTTAATAAATCAAAAACGTCACAAAACATCTGTAATTCCCTTATATCTTATCTTATGATTCCATGTTGGCATTAATGGGCTTTACAAAATTTACTCAATGTAATGCGAAAGGGTTACAAACAAATAACTCTGATAAGATTAAAGATATTTCAAAATTATGAAGAGCAACAATCAGAAATCAAAGGAAACTTAAGTCATTAGACAGTTTGCTCTATATTCTGTACGACAAGTTGTCGTCGACAACCAACATTAACAGGTACAACTAGATATAAATATTAGGTGTTTTTGACAATCTGTTTATTTTACTCATAACAGAATATAGCCAAAATAAATTGGCAATTTATTAAAACTTCGCAACGTCAACAAGATTCTTATCTTTAGCGAATAAGTCCCGGATCAACTTTCCATTTCCTTGTTGCTCTTTCGTTCGAAGAACTATTCTCGCCATGGTACATACTTAGCACATGAGATGACTTTTGCTTTTAAGATCTGCCCATTTTTGTGTGGGCTTCAGCGCGTCCAGACTTCATTTCATCCCAAACACTCCTCCTAAAACCGGCCGCTGTTTTATCAATCAAATTGATCGGACAGGTCTCGTTGGGAAACTAATTGGTCGGCAAGTTGCTGGACACGATCGCAATCAGTTTATTGACACGACCAGAGCACATAATTGAATGAACATATCAATTTCCCATCACAATCACACCAGAAAAGCTTATTAAGTGCCCCCAAAAGAGTTTCGCGGCCCAGAACATCAGAAAATCATGTAGTGGGGTGGGCAAGGCGGACTGAGAGAGAGAAACGTGGTCCAAGCCCCGGAGAACGATGACCAGAACACGCCCGCAGCTAATCAGGCTCTAATGGCGATAAATATTTCATTCTATATTATTCTGTTTTTATTCGCCCCGGCCAGACACGCCTCCGAGCTGCAAAGCCTGCCAGGAGTCAAGACAAAGCGACGACTCAACGGGAACGAACAGGGAGATCGAGAGGAACAGGCCCCAGAACAAGGGACCTGAACAACAGACCCGCCGACGGACCCGCGATCAGACAGACAGAATCTGCGACGCGATCGATGAAGACAAGGCTGATAAAGGAACCCGACTGCGGGGACTAGAGATGCCATAGTGACTCCACAGACAGCACAAGGAATATTAAATAAATATAACCTTTTTTTACGTTATTTAAAGAAAACATTTTTTTTTTTGTTTTTATTAATATTTTCCTAGCGCGACAAGTGATAACCTATATTTATTGCGCTAATCACAATGAATGACATACAAAATATAACTTTAAGCTTATAAGTTATAACTAATATGCTTGCTGTTTACGTTTTTATTAGATTTAGATTAGATAATTTTTTAGATTAGATTTCATAAAATATTATTATATTATTATTATTTAAAATTATTCTTATTTTGGTTTGGATTTTTTATTTATGTCAAATTTTTGTAGTGTGTCATTAAGGCATGTTTAAATTGTGGAACACTCTTAATTGTTTTGATTATTTTATATCACTCATCTTAAGAAAAGTGGTAACATGGTAATGCAGTAACAAAAATTTCTCCAACCCATTTTTCCAAGGAAAATATAATTAAAGCATAAGACTTGAACGTTAACTAAGCAGACAAATAGCGTACAAAAACAAATCTCCTAACGATTATGATTATCATTCATATCATTGATCTTAATATTTTTGAGAGCGTTTACGTGATAATATAGTGAGCTAAGCTTGTCTTGATTTGGGAAACTAAAAATATATATAAATAAATATTTTTAAACTAATACAAATTCCATCATAATATAGGTACTTTTTATTTTATAGAATTTGAGACAATTAAGATTTTATTGGAAGTTGAAATGATATGTTACACCTTTTGCGCAAGCCCAGTTACTAAAAAATCGTTTAAAAATTAGCTTATTAATAATATAATATAATAAAAAATATATTATTAAAGTATTTTATTTTTGTACACCAATTTTATCCAAAACCACTTTTGCCATCACGATTACATCTCCGTTTAACACAATATGTAAGAAATCGGACCAAAGTCAAGGCAAGGCCAGATCTCTTTGCTTCCTTCGCAATCTTCGTGTTATGAATCGAACAGATTTATGCAACCTGGGGAACAACATGGGCGGGAGCTCCTCCGACTGCAGATTCCCGGCACCCGTTCCACTCCCTTTTTGCTGCTCCCCCAATCGGATTCTCCTTTTCTCCGCTGGAGAGGATGAGGATGCGACCGCGACATTTGGCTGCGCCATTATGAGTAATGGAGTAATGCCTAGAATTGTTTACTTGGGGGCTTTATTGGCGTCGGCATTTGGCATCGGAATGAATGTCTGTGCTTTATGGTCTTTTTGTATATGTCCATACACATGCGTGTGTTTTTATTATTATATTTTTTCTTGCCTGCTTTCAGTGGTTAGGAATCTGAAAATGCTTTTATAATTGGTAAAGAGAAGAACGGATTATGGAAATGAGTTAGATATGAGTGGGCCATAAATAAGAGACACTAGATTAAATTCCTAATTGAAACTCTTTGATTTAGGACTTTTAAATAAAATTGAAAAACACATTTTGTAATTTCCATTAAAATTGAATGGTCGTTATTTAAAAAATATATACTACATTTTAAAAAATAAATTTTATTTCTAATGATTCAGAAAATACATTTTTAAGCAAACGTAACACTTCAGATGCTTTTTTAAAAAATGTGTAAAATGTTTAATAATGAATTACATTTCTGATGATTCAGAAAATACATTAATTTAAGCAAGAAAAACACTTCTGATGTTTAAAAATAAGATGAAGTAATAATATTAAGCAATTCAAAGCAATTCAAAGGAATTAAAAATGAAATAAAATATGAAATTCCTTTTTCATATTTTACGGAATATTACTACCCAACCTTTTGGTTCATTGAACCAAATATCCCATGAAGCATCTATCTTTGCAATCGTTCCGCGAACCTTTCCCAATCTCGCGGACAAATCTAGAGCGAAATCTAATTTTTAATTGGCCAACAAACTGCGGACAAGCGACATTTCATGCTTATCAGCAGTACAGCCAGTAATTAATCTCCCTTCGGTCGAGAGGCCTCTCTTAGCTGGAACTCTCTTGCGAGAATCTCTTTCGCTGCAGCTTTTAAACGAGAATCTTTGGCGCGCTCGTATGCAGACAACTTTCTTTCGAATGCTTTTTCTTAAAAGCAACTCGAACTTGTTGCTGAGCCTCAGTTCGGAATCAGCACGCGACGCGTTCAGAACGTTGAGAAAACGGATCGGAGTGTGGAGACTGTAATAAATTAAGACAATCCAAAAGAAAAGCAAAAAAGACTCTTCTCCGAAGACCCCAAGACTAGAAGGCTCTTCTTGTGGTCAAGGATGATCGAACCCTCGAGTGGCGGTGAAGTGCAAGCATAAAGAAACAAACAGAACGAAATAATAGCAATCGGTGGAGTCATATTTTTGTTTTGGTGTCTCACAGTTTCACAGTGGATATAAGAAAACCTCACCTTAGACAGGTATGTGCATTTGCGGGGAACTCCGGGAATGCTTCGCTGAGCAAACACGGACTTTTCCCAGTTGTGGTTCTTGGGGTCGTTGTTGCGGTTCTTTACCGCCTGCCTCCCAGCCTTCCTGCCACCTTTATCCACACTTTGGGCATGCTAAAATTTAATAAGTGTTTTCCTCAAACCGTTTTTCCTGTCGCCTCTTTTTCACGCTTTTTTACGTAGCTCTGTTCTTGTTGTTCAATTCTTTGATGCATTGCCAAGGGGAGCTGAGGTGGTTGGGTAAAATATGCAGTTGGCGAAGTCGGCTTCTCCTTCTTTGCCCACAAACTTGGCAAATTCTTGCGGCACATTTCATGTATCTATTTCGCTCCCTCTGCCAAAACGCTTTTTCCTAACGTGTCGTGTCGTGTTAACGGTATTGTTTACATTGTTAATAGAACCCACCGAGTTGGTGGCCAGATAAATAAATAATAGACTCACACAAAAACCTGCAGTCGGAGCCGAAAGTCCATGCTTCAGTGCACT